TCATCAGCATGGCTGGGATCCGTACTGGGTGGAGGTCCTGGGAGCTGTAGTTCCATAAATTGGTTTTTCCAGCTCGGATTGCTGTCTCTCTTTCTCAAAAGGAAAATTGAGCCCCCCCCCCCAAAAAAAATCAAATGTGGATGAAAACGTTTGGGTGTTCGGAGCAGCAGTTCAGTACCTACTGGTCCATGTTAAGAAAGTCAAGAGTCTAGTGGGTTGCTTTTTTTTCAATTGGGAATTTAGCTTTCCTTTGGCATTCCTGCCTTTCTGGAAGTCATGAAATTGAAACCATTGGACGGCTGTCTTGAATTCTGGGATGTTTGGGTGCTCTCGTCAGAGTGATGTCATTATTCCACTGAACTAGCCTTCCAGGCCAAACTGAGCCATTGAAATGTTCTTTATTCCCTTAGTTTGAAGAAGAAAAGAAGAAATCAACGCGAACAGACTACTGGTTACAGCCTGTACGTTTCCTGATGGTGATCCGCATGATGTCATTTCTCCATTTTAGGCCAATTCTTTTACTGTGGTATTGCCTATTGGAATGGCAGACTGGTTTGCCTCTGTACCGTTTCTGAACGAAAGTGGGAGTCGTGCAGCCGTAGATCCCGTGTTAAACCAAGAATTAGATCAGACGGTCTCTATGATTGCTTGATCGATTGAGCTTTTAGACGGCCCAGCTTAGTGAAACATTGCTCAGGACGGTTTACATACTTGAGCAAAGATACAGCAGCTAAATAATAAAAAACAAAATACACAATACCACAAACTAAAATGAAACAAAGCAAACATCCCTTTCAGCTCCAAATTTCTTTGTGCCCGCATCCCACCAGATCTCGAGAAGTGGTTCTAACCCTTACCTCGGTTGTGGTCATTGTCGTGTGTTGTCATGTCGATTCCAACTTAACAACCATCCCATAAATGAAGGACCTCCAAAATACCCTGCCCTCTACAGCCCTGCTCGGCTCTTGCGAACTCAAACTACAAAATAGTTTCATCATAATTTTAAAAGAAACCGGGGGCTGAAACCACAATTTTATCCCAGTAGCTGATTTTTAATTCGAACTAATTTTACATCACCTTTGTTAGATTATTATACCCTGGTGGGATTCAGGCTGCAGAACTTGATGCCAGATAGAGCTGGTAAGCAATTAAAGTGCCATGAGTCTTTTTTGTGATTTCTGCCGTAATGAGAGTAAAATAGGACATTCTAACTTCCTATACAACACAGAATTGTATTCCCTTTCTCCTAATTCCTAAAATGAACTGGCATTTTCAGTTTCCTCCTACAGCAAGCAAATGAGAAAGGGACTTTGGCAGGTTGCATGTGGTGAGATTATAGAATCATGGGAGTTGGCAAGGGCCTCTAAGGCCATCCAATCCAACCCCCTGCTCAAGGCAGGAATCCAAATCTAAGCAGATCTGCCAAGTAGTTGTCTACATTTCTCTTGAATGCCTCCAACTTTAGAGAGCTCACCACCTCCCAAGGAAAACTGGTTCCCTTGTCGTACTGCTCTAACAGTTATGAAGTTTTTCCTGATATTCAATCAAAATCTGGCTTCCTGTAACTTGAGCCCATCGCTGCGTGTCCTGCACTCTGGGATGATCGAGAACAGATCTTGCGCCTCAAGACAGCCTTCGAAATCTTTGAAGACTGCTCTCCTATCTCCCCTCAATCTTCTTTTCTCAAGGCTAAACAGGCCCAATTCTTTCAGCATTTCCTCGTAAGGCTTGGTCTCCAGCCCCCTGATCATCATCCTTGTCGCCCTCCTCTGAACTTGCTCCAATTTGTTGCCATCCTTCTCAAAGTGTGGTGTCCAGAACTGGACACAGTACTCAAGATAAGGGCTAACCAGTGCTGAATAGAGGGGAACTAGTATAATCAGCATAAGAAAAGGCAAACAAGGGGCTTGTAGTTTAAAGAAAGGATAGGCCGCCTCAGCTTAATCTGATGGAAGCTGATTTCCAAAAAAACTTTGGAAGCAATAAGATGAAACCTCTGGTGCAAGGGATCCGTCTGTCCTTGGCAGCAGGGT